TCTTAAGAAGAGAAAATCATCAAATGTTTTTGCCAGCCTCGGGTGCGACGAAGGGAAGTGTCAGACTCTTACTGACTAAACTACCCTTTTTCTCACCCACGTTCACTCATACGGCGTAACACAACACTTTTTTTGTGAGGGGAAAATAATTAAATGGCTTCTCCCGTACAGGGTCGGAATTTACTGATTTAAACCCCCCTGTTCCTTCTACTGCTCTTGGCCGAAGTCGCGGTGCCTCATTGCGCTTACCCCGCAACCCCGGCTGAACATCAGCTCTATAGGGACCCGTCTGTGGTCGTCTATTGGCTCTATGAGGCACGCACGGAACGCAATGCGCCGTACGCTCGGGTCTGGTTCTGGTCAGGCAACGAGCTACCCTTACTCACCGACCGCAGACCAGTGCTTATGGTGGCGGGAGATCGTCTTTTGAAACACAACATCATCATCAGCAGGAAGACATCCACGGCTGGACAAAGGCCTCCCCCTTAGCTCTCCACGTCGAACGACAAGTTGCCACCTGCGACGATGTCGTCGGTCCACCTAGCGGAAGGCCTGCCCACACTACGTTTTTCGGGCCCATCGACCGTCCGTCTTTCGAGCAACGTGGCCTGCCCATTGCCACTTTAGCCTGCAGATGTTACGAGCTATGTCGGTGAATTTGGTTCTTTGGCGAATTTCCACATTTCGGATTTTGTCGCGCAAAGAGACCTCGAGCATAGCCCGCTCCATCACGCGCTGAGCGACGCTAAGTTTAGCAAGAAGGCCAGGCGTTAAGGACCACGTCTCAGAAACACAACGCTGAGCTTGTTTCACTTCTTTTTTTGTAAGGCTGTGGTATTACTCCGGTCGAGCCGACCCATTCGTGCCGAAGCCGCACTTGAAAGATTACGGAACTGATTACAATTATTATGTCAAATTCATGACCTTCATGTTCCAAACTCTTTCAAGCAACCGTGCGAATTAATTACAATAAATAAAAAAACAAAGCCTATAGCCACCATAGGACTTTTCCGCGATAAATCCGGATATCCGTATAGCAGAAGGTTGTAAAAATATTTTATTTGAATAAGATTTCGACCGGAACCGCGTTGCTCGGTTCGTCACACCTCTATTCTTGGTGAGACAAAAACTAAGATGGCGGCGTTTATTCTGGAATGTTCGCGCCAACGTGGGTCAAGCGGTAGGTACCGCGGCCTTGGCCTAGAGCAGTAGAAGAAACGGGGGCGTTTTAGGCAGTAAGAGTCTGACACTCTTTCGCCATACCCTGGGCCAGTGAAGGTATTTGATGATTTTCCTTCGAAAAAAGAGCCTCCTAACCTCTAAGAAGGGGTACAAAAATTTCGTCTGCAACAGTCTTAAACACGCTCTCGCCTGATCCAGGGTGGGAGAGTACTTTTTATGATTCTCCCTCCTCAAAAAGGGGGTACCTATCAGAAGCTCACGTTAACGACGTGGCACGCTCTTTTCACATGTTTCGTAATTATCGAATCAGGAGCAAGTTGAAAGAACAGAAGACCCATGCTTCGGCACGGATGGGTTGGCTGGAGAAATGCTTAGTGTGGGGCAATGTTTTATTTAAAAAGGAACAAAAATCACATACCATCTCGCACGTGCACCGCGAGAGGGAGCTATCCTCCTCCTCATACCCCAGCTGCAATAGGCGACACTATGGGCGTCGGGGATCGAGAAGCGATCTCCGGCCACCGTAAGCGCGGGCCTTTGGACGGCGAGTAAGGGTAGCTCGCTGCCCGACCAGAACAAGACCCGAGCGTACGGCACTTAGCGTTCTTATAGACCACCACAGACGGGGCTCTATAGGGCTGATATTCAGCGGGGTTTGCGGGACAAGCGCAATATGGCACCGCAATCTCGGCCTGGGAGGAGACTGACTCTCGGGAGAAGTCACTTAATGATTTTATCTTCACAAAAAACACTCGCATATACTGTGACTTTGCCATATATTTTTTTTTTCGCTAACCCATAATTGTATTACGTCCGTAACTTCAAGGGTGCTCATGTCACGACAGACATTATCTTATGTTATATTATTATATTGTTTAGAAGGTCGACAAATTAAAAAAAACAAATAACAAACAAAGAAGTTTTTATTGGATTTTCGCTAACTAGTAAAATCTAATTCTTTTTTTGAATTTTAATATTTCGTCTCGAAAGTTATGGCACCTGCTTCTTATGTATGAGGGTGCGGTGTCCAAACCTGGCAAGTACCAATGTGACTTTTTCTGAGTTATATGTACTTTCTTTGATTATTTAGACACCACTGACATACGGTGAAGGTAAACATCGTGAGGAAACCTGGACCTTTAATTTCTAATTATAAGTTTGAAATTGCCAATCCGTCTTGAGCAGGCGTGATGATTAATGCTCAAACCTTCTCCGTGTGAGAAGAGGCCTTTGCTCAGCAGTGGGCTCTTATAGATAGGCTGATAATGTGATTACTAATTTCGTAACAAGTCCACCTAACAAAAACTAGTTAAAACGCAAACCGGGCATCAAAAACTGGGCTTCGTGATCTCAAGTCACGCTAAACCACTGAACCGATAACCGGTTTAACTTGAACTAACATAGTTAAATATTTAACCTTAATTGGAGGTCAATTATACAAAACGCTGAGGTCTTGCATTGTGCATTCAATGATTTGCCAGTCATTGGCGCGAATATCAGCTGTTCTTTCGTTTCATATTATATTAATTGTTTTGAAGTTAGGTAGGTACCTAAAATTTTTAGAGATCCGTAGCTATAAGGACATACCATGTAAATGCGTAGCAACAAACAGAATAGTTCGTTTGTAAATAATACACTTTATTAATTCTGTATTTGATTAATACATACAACTAGCTACCGCCGTATTTTTCTTTTTTGTTTTAATAGGTCCTCAAAACGGAGGAGTTACGAGTGCGTTGCCGACCTTTTAGGGATTAGGGTTTTGGAGATTAAGGGATTGGGAGGAATCGGGGGAGGGGAAGGATTGGGCCTCCATTTTGATAAACACAGGGTATCACCTATCTAAGCCTTTGTTGCGGGGCAATTGCAATAAGATAGCACGGGATCGGCCTAGCAGGAGCAGGAGGATTTTTAGTCAGTAAGAGTCTGACAATGACTCTGGCCTCGCCCTGGGCGAGCGATGTTAGTTAATTTTCTTGTTCAAACATATTTGTTTTTGAATTTTCTATACATATACAATTAAATAGGTATTCAAAAATAATCTCATGTCAATTCGATATACAACAACTGTGCGATTTTCGCAGATTTCTGCCATTAGAGCGTATTCCTTCTTAAGCATTTGACTGCCGCCAGAAACTGTTCAAGGCTAACCCTCCGCTACCGTCGGACAGCATTGTCGGACCTGGCGCTCTAATGTTAAAAGGCTTGTAACATATTTGTGCCTTCTCTGGTGTTGCGGACGGTTTTGCATTCATCTATTTTTCATCATCATCATTATCAGCAGCCGGAAGACGTCCTCTGCTGGACAATAGCCTCCCCCTTAGTCTCCCATCCATTGGCTCCCCGCGACTCTGATGAAGTCGTCGGTTCCACATAGCAGGAGGTCTTTCCACGCTACGTCTTTCAGTCCGTGGGCGCCACTCGAGAACGTTTCTAACCCATCGGCCGTCAGTCCTTCGAGCGATGTAGCCTGCCTATTGCCGCTTAAGCTTGCAGTCAATTAATTTTTGCATCCAACATATTGCGGCAGCACTTCTCCTCAAAATGGCGAATTTAAAATCTTTACATCATCATCTTCCTGCCCTTGTCCCGTTTTATTTGGGGTCGGCGCAATATGTTTTTTTCTTCCATTCTGTCCTGTCACTCGTCACGCTATCGCTAACTCCTCTGTCTTCCATATCACTTCTCACACAATCCATCCATATTTTCTTTGGTCTCCCTCTCTCTCTCCATCCATCCACATTTATACTCATGGCTTTTAAAATTTAAATTTAAAATCTTTACATAACAATTTTTTTGCTGATTTTTCTTATATGCGGAACAGTCAATGAATGCGTTCAACTTGGCAGGCTTTTAGCAATATCCGTGCTTGAGAGTTTAATATCCGGTTTTTTTTAACTGCAAAATTAATCGTTCAACGGTCCGCTGGTTATTCTGGTTCACTGAAGTTTTTATAACACTAATTGCCGAATACTTTTAATATGAAAACACAATGATATTAATGAAAGACAATTATAATTTAAGAAATCGGCTTCCATACAAAAGCGCGCGGTACAGTTTTCTCTCTGACAGCCCCAGCAGAATTTGAAGCAGATTTTTTTTTGTAATGGATCGGGAAACGATTCGACGGATTAACTGATGGTAAGCAATCAGCGTCGCCCATGGACACTTACAATAACATAGGAGTTACGAGTGCGTTGCCGACCTTTTGAGGATTAGGGATTTGGAGATTTAGGGATTGGGGTAGGGAAAGGATTGAGTCTCCGGTAACCTCACTCACACGGCGAAACACAACGGTATGGTAGTTTAACGGTAATTTTCTGTGAGGCCGTGGTATCACTCCGGTCGAGCCGACCCATTCTTGCCGAAGCATAGCTCTCCCACACTTGATCTTGATCCAGATCTCACATATTCAACGGATTGAACTAAAATTTTGTATACACGTTTAGTTTGATATACCATAAATGCTAAGCTGTATAACATCACTCTAAATCTAAAAATATCTTCGAAGTTTTTAGTCCAGAATCTTTATGGACAGATCTGATGAAAGCTTTTTAATTATTACTTTTTAGCTTTGTCCGCGACTTTGTTCGCGTGGAATAGTGACTTCCTGCAGATTTTTTGGTTTACAAACTATCTTACGTCCTTTTTCGAGTTCCAAACTATGTCTGTACCAAATTTCACACAAATAGGTTCAGTAGTTTAGGCGTGACGAAAAGACAGACAGACAGAGTTACTTTTTTCGCATTTATAATATTAGTTTCGTTTTTTTTTCGTTTATTTAAGTGATTTGAATATTTTTTTCCTTTTTTTTTCAGACGAGCTCTTGCCATTCCACCTTCAGATGGTCCATTCTCCCATGATCGTTGCAAGATGTATTCGGCAGACTTTAGCCAGGCTTTGGCTGATGGCAGAACAACTCCTGATGATGAATGGCCCATCGTACCTTGCAAATATGGATGGGAGTACAACAAGTCTGATGTTCCATATGACACTATTGCTTCGGAGGTAAGAGAAGACATTATGGCATAGGTAGACAGCAGACGGATTACCTGATGGTAAGCAATCGGAGCCGCCCATGGATATTCCCAACAGAGTTGTTCTTAGTGCGTTAGCGTCTTTTTGGGGGTTAGCGATTTGAAGATTCGGGAATTTGGGGATCAGGGATATTGGGGATTGGGAAATTGGAGATTGGGGTTATGGAACTTGGAGGGTTTGTTGGCTTGGGGATTGGAGATCGGGTATATTGGGGATCTGGGAATTGGAGATCGGGTATATTGGAGACCTGGGAATTGGGGATAGGGGATATTGGGGATCCGGGAAATTGTGATCGGGGATACTGGGGTTCGGGGATATTGGGGATAGGGGATATTGGGGATAGGGGATATTGGGGATCCGGGAATTTGATGATGAGGGATTGAGATTGAGCCTCCGGTAACCTTACTCACTAGGGGAGTACAACGCAAGCGTTGTTTCACGCCGGTTTTCTGTAAGGCCGTGGTATCACTATTTCAGCCGACGTAAGTATTCGTGCCCTAACATAGCTCTTTACCGGATAAAGGGGAAATTAAAAAATTATAATAATAAGTATATGTGTGTATGTAACATATAAAATGCTATCGTATATCTACCAAACAAAGTCTATTTTCCCTTCAGCTAGAGACAACCAGTGTCTGATTAATATCACCATTTTAAATGATACTTACATCCAAAAATCAACTTTAACCTTCTACACATATGATCTAATTTCCTTTCAGCTGGACTGGGTGTGCGAGAAGGACAACCTAGCAGCGACAGCTCAAGCCATCTTCTTCTGTGGTGCCATAGTAGGTGGTCTAGTTTTCGGCTGGATAGCTGACAAGTACGGGCGAATTCCCGCTTTAGTAGGTAAGTTTTAAGGTTGCATTTCACTTGTCTATTAGTGATAATTTGTTGACCTGAAGAGTTCTATGGAAAAATCCTAAACAAGAGATCTCAAAAGCTCTCAGACCAATACAGATAGGGCTCCACAATTTTTTTTTTATATCTTGACTTTGACTTATCTTGACTAGCACTAACACTTAATTTTATCTTTTAAAATCCAGTTTTTCCAGTAAAATTTTCGCTAATACTGACGATGATGACAACTACAAATCATAACTACACTACTGATCCTTATAATACATGTATTTTTGTCTCTTTCAGGCACCAACCTCCTTGGTTTCTCAGCAGGAATTGGAACTGCTTTCTGCAATAGCTTCCTCACATTTGCTCTCTGCAGATTCTTCGTAGGACTTGCCTTCGATAACTGCTTCACTATGATGTATATACTTGGTAAGTTATATATATATAATGCTTAGTAATAATTATAACTAATACCAGCTAACGTCCCGCGGTTTCAACAACCGTTTTATAGCCTATAGCACTCAGGAACATTGTTGCTATCTATCAGTGAAAAAATTTTGCAATCCGACCAGCGGTTCTGAAAATTACCCCCCTACATACAAACTTACAAACATAAAAATTTTACCTCTTTATAACATTAGTATAGATACAAATAGTAAGGTACCTACCAATACAATTAATAATAGTACAAACTACAAATATTATAGCGCCTAGTAAAATATTTATAGCAATATTTATTTACGTGTGTAGTCAGAGTTTTTTGTCAGGCGCTAACAATAAAGTCATTCATAAAACTCTACTGTCTTTTGTTTCGAACTAAATATTCCTTATTTTATTTACAGTTTTGGAGTACGTTGGTCCCAAATGGAGAACTTTTGTAGCCAACATGTCTATCGCTCTGTTCTTTACCCTGGCCGCATCACTGTTACCCTGGATCGCGCTGTGGGCTGATGATTGGCGGATGTTCGCGATGGGAACCAGTCTGCCGTTCGCATTGGCTATATTAACACCTTGGTTGGTCCCTGAAAGTGCTAGGTAAGATTTTGAAACCTAATTTATTCGAAATAACGACTTATATACCTCTACATATATTAAATTTTGAAATGTGACGTGACAAAACTTAGGACCCGTCCCGTTCCTTACAAAACCATGTCACATTTTGTCGACCCCCACCCCGTTACCGGATCGCACACGTTTACGTGTGACGTAGGTACTTATGGATGACCCCTTATGATATATGCAATACATTCTTTAAAACTTTTTTCCGGTATTTTTATGGACACTCGCTAAAGGAGTTACCACAAGTGCGTTGCCGACCTCTTGTGGGTTATTATAGGAACTAGCTTTTCCCCGCGGCTCCGTTCGCGTGGAATAGTTATGTCCCTGCAGATTGTTAGTATAAAAACTATCCTATATCCTTTCTCGAGTTCCAAACTATGTCTGTGCCAAATTTCACTGAAATCGGTTCAGAAGTTTAGGCGTGAAGATTAGACAGACAGACATACAGAGTTACTTTCGCATAGTTTGGATTTAAGGATAGGGAATTTGAGTACTCAGGAGGCCTCTCACTCGACACATCCATAGGGATATAGGGACAGAGAAAGCGACTTTGTTATATACTATGTAGTGATAACATTATTTGTTTTTTTTTTCCAGGTGGTTAGTCTCTCAAGGAAAGATTGATAAAGCCCTTACAATCATGAAGAAGTTTGAAAGAATCAACAAGACCAAAATACCTGAAAAAGTACTCAGTGATTTTACAGTAAGTACCTATTTCTATTCATACTAAGAAGGTTGGGTCTTACTAATTCACACTGGACGACGAAAATAGTACACAGATCTGATATTTTCAATCAAAATGTTATTCTGTTTTTTAAATCGTTAATAATATCGCGTTCTCTGTTTTTTAAGCTTTATCCCATACCAGGATTTTCTCCTATGTCTTACGTGCGCAGTACAGATTCTAATACAATATTCCGCGGTAAAAACATACAATTTCATATACTTACCTACACATCATACCTAGTCCTACAACTACAATTAGTGGATCACACAAAGTGTTGCGCATTTCAAGACGAATCAGATAACTATTTCAAATTTGTAATGCAAATAATATATTTAAAAAAACTACACTTTCTTTTCACTGATCATCGTATTTTCTACTTAATTTTCAATGTATTCATCTTTTAAAGGATAAAAAACAAACTAACGCGTCCAAATCTCATAGAAGACTGTATTACTACATCATCATCATCATCAGCCAGAAGACGTCCACTGCTGGACAAAGGCCTTCCCCTTATGTATTACTACGCCATAACAAAAGACCTTCTATCAGTGAAAAACACTCTTCTTCTTAACAGGAATCATCCCTGAAAACCATAAAAGAATCCGAAGCTGAATGCAGAACATACTCCGTGCTGGACCTATTCAAAACTCCTCGGTTGAGACGGAATGCTATACTTCTTATTGTGATCTGGATGGCCATATCCCTGGTCTTTGATGGCCATGTCAGGAATGTTGGGTCTTTAGGTCTGGACATCTTTCTGACGTTCACTATTGCGTCAGCTACAGAACTGCCCGCTGATACGTTTTTGACTGCTGTTTTGGACAGGTGAGAAGATTTTTGTACCATAAAATGGTGTTATGGTCTGAAGACCTGAATGACCTTCTTTTAAGTTCTTTTTTATGAGATAGGTAGGTAAACAAGCCAACCTGGTGATAAGCAATAGGAGCCACCCATGGACACCCTCAACACTAAATGATTTACGAATGCGCTGCCGGTCTATTGGGGTTATCCCCAAAAGACCGGCAGTGATACAAACCTTTGGGTTTCTTTATGGGATATTTAATTAGGAAGGTTGGTGGGCCTTCGGTAAAATGTTGTCTGTGATTCATCGGGCGCGTTGTGTGATGTAAGATTACCAAGCAAGGAGTCTGGAGTTCGGTTGTTGAACTGGGCAAAGTGATATTGGATTTATTTTGTTTTATTGACATCTCAGTAATGACGAGGAATGTTTTTTATGAAGTAAAGCAGCAAACTAGCAGACGGTTGCATGACCTGATGGAAAGCAATCGGTACCGCCCACACCCACTACAAGAGGGGATTCGGTGAGGGGAAGGATGGAGCCTCCGGTAACCTCACTACCCGGAGAGACACAACACTGTATTTTTTTGAGGCCGTGCTCCTGTTGAGTCGACCTATGTCGACATATGTAGTATAATGTGTATTTCTGTCTCCAGATGGGGTAGAAGATGGCTGGCGTGTGGTTCCATGGTGATCAGTGGTATCTTCAGTCTACTGGCTACTACTGTGCCTGTCGGTGGCCCATCAGCTTCTCTAGCTATCCTCGGCCGCTTCGCCGTGAATATCTCTTACAACATTGGTCTGCAGTACGCGGCAGAACTGCTGCCCACTGTAGTGAGAGCTCAAGGAGTCGCTCTCATACACATCATGGGTTACGTTGCCTCCATCGTTGCACCATTCGTTGTGTACTTGGTAAGTTTTTTTTATATGATAGATTGGCTACCTAGCAGACGGATTCCCTGATGGTAAGCAATCAACACCGCCCATGGACACTCGTTATATCAAAGGAGTTACTATAAGTGCGTTGCCGGCCTCTTCTGGGTACTAACGGATTTACGGATTGGGGATTTGGGATTTGAGGTAGGGGGGGAGGGTAGGATTGGGTTTCCGGTAGTATCACTCAAAAGACGAACGTAAGGGTGGCTTCACGCCGGTTTTCTGTGACGTCGTGGTATCACTCCGATTAAGCCGACCCATTCGTGCTGAAGCATGGCTCTGTGACACTTAGAAAACAAGTACAAATCAAAGTGTCTGATATAGTAACTAATTTGGCAATCAATACCAAATAATTATATTATATGTGGTTGATTGAATGAGAAGTGCCTTTGTCAAAGGCGTTTGTCCTTTGGAAAGGCCTTTGTCCAGCAGTGGACGAATATAAGCTGATGGTGATGATGATGATGTGTCGATCGATCTGCATTTAGCTATTCTGATAATGTAATCATATCTTACTAATATTATAAATGCGAAAGTTACGATGTTTGGATGTTTGTTACTCAATTACGCCAAAACGGCTCGACGGATCTGGATAAAATTTGGCACAGACATAGAATACACTCCGGAATAGGACATAGGCTTTTTATCAACACACGCGAAGGCATAGGCTGCTTTTTGTCAACATACGCCGGAATAATACATAGGAAGCTGCGGGCGTAAGCTAGTGTTCTTATAAATATTCTCATTCTTCTTTCAGGCCAACATCTCTCAAGATCTTCCACTCCTGATTCTCGGTGTGCTGGGAATAGCTGGGGGTCTACTCTGTCTCTTCCTGCCAGAAACCATGGACACGGAGATGCCCCAAACTCTTCTTGATGGAGAGAACTTTGGCAAGGATCAGAGGTTCTGGGACAATCCTTGTTTCCCCAGGTAAGGTCTTATTAAAGACAGAGTTATTCTCAATGCGTATTACAGATGATTTTTAGATTAGATGAATGCAAAATTAGACTTTTTTTTTCTATGCAAGTAAGGACGGCAAACGGGCAGACGGGTAACCTGATGGTAAGCAATCATGAACACCACACAGAAAAATGTTTTAGATAGATGAATAAAAAGGCTATGAAAAAGTACAAATCATAAAAATACCAATCAATTTCTATAGCTCTAGCCGACTGGCTACTTGATGGTAAGCAATTGCCGCCACCCATGGACCCTCGAACCAAACGATTTAGGAGTGCGTTGTCGAAATTTGGGGATAAGGGGTTCTGGGGACTAAGGGACAGGGGATGGATGGAAGTGGTGAAAGGATAAGTTACCTATAATCTTTATATATAGAAATGGATCGCAAAATGTGTTGGTAAGCGCATAACTCAAGAACGCCTGGACCGATTTTGATAATTCTTTTTTTGTTGTATTTCTTATAGTCAGTAGAAGGTTCTTATAAAAGAAAATATTAGAAAAGTAGAGGGGGGAAGTTTAGGAAAAAGTGACCCTTTGATAGCGAGATAGTTGGACCCGTGCGAAGCGGGGGCGGCCCGCTAGTATGGTATAGATCTTTTCTAACCCCTCTCTTCTTCAATAATTTCAGGAAAAAGGCAGAGCAAGAAGAAGGCGAGGAACAACCAGGAAGGTACACCAAACGGTCTTCTGTGTCCGCCACTGAGCCTCAGGAGTTCGTCAGAGCAGTTCCAAGTGCCATAGGATCTAGAGCCTCCATCAGGGCCTCCATAAGAGCAAGTACCAGGGCGTCAGCGAGAAGAAGAGATGTCAATAAGGATAGAAACGTCGTCTGAAGAAGAATCGCCATTTTCTTCTAGCTATTCGCCAAAAAATTCTGTACAAAATTTGTTTTTTTTTTTGGGTTTCGTCCGAAACTCTATGTGCCAAGACTGGTCTGAAGATGGTTTTGAGAAGGTGGTTTGGAAGAAGGATTTTTAATTGGAGATTTCGTTTTCCTTTTTCGTGTGATCTCAATTAGTTTTGAGGTTAGTTTTGTTTACTGGTCCTACAATATGGAATGAGAATTTGAATTGATTACGATATTAGATTGTTGATGTTTTTATTTGAAAAAAAAACGTCCCGTAGGAACTCGGATTTTCTCATGTACCGTCAGTGCGTTTTAAAACATACACAAGAACCGAAACAACAATTTGTGAATCACACAAGCGTTGTATAAGCGGCCACACCAGCCAGTTGCTTAGCCACAACACCAACCGTGACTAAAAGTGATGCAAAAAGGTTTAAATAATAAAAAATAAAACCAAAAACATATTGATGATTATTTAAACAGTTGACAAAGAGGCAGTCATTAACCGCATTCTATTTTGATTATTATTGCGATTATATGTAATGTCATTGACATTACCGACATCATAATTATAAATATTAGGTCTGCTGACAAAAATATTTGCTGACTGTTTTAGCTGACCAAATTTTTTTTCGACTAAACCATTTTTTCATAATGTTGTCATGTTTTAAACTTTATTTAAAAGAAAACAGCTGTCTAACAGAATCTAGCTGATTTTGAAGTTGAAATATTGTAGGACTGGGCTAGAGATTGTGGAAGAATTCTGAATTGTCCTAGATTTGGCCGCAAATATAAGGCTATATACCTTAAAGAGAGTACTATTTGGGCATTTATTAGGCAACTTACAAATATAACGATTATTTTTTATAAAAAATGGATCTGAATATTCTCTCGTCGTTGCTCGCTGCGTAATAAATAATGATAATTAATCAAATTATTATTTATTTTAATCTGTAAAAGCAAAAGTACAAAGAATATTTATTTTATGATAATATTTCTTTTTTGCAATGTCGCGAAATTAATTTTTATGTTATCTTTTTCTATTATTGTTCTTTTTTTTTGTAACTAGGTATTTATTATTTAATGTGGTCGAATTTATTTGTTTTATTAAATTTTTGTATTGTCATGTCAGACGAAATTAATATTAAATTAAATTAAAAGATATCTATTTAATTATATTATATGTTTTTTATGAAATAATAATAATGATTATCGTATTATTTATATTTTATGGCGTAATTTATGAATGTATTCTTATTTTGTACATAAATTCTTGCCTAATTGTGATAGTTACCAATGTTCAATCTATGTTAGGTATAAAAAGATGTGTTTTGTCAAGTCTTAGAGTTTAAAATTGGTCTGGATTTTTTTATAAAGCTAGGTGCGACACTAGGGTCTTCTCCAGTGTCGTGGTTACATTTAAAGACATACAAATTACATATTATTAATATGTACTTTATACACATCACACTTAGACACAGCACACCAATTTTTTGACATCGGAGTGCTGCAGGCGGTTGCCTAGCAACAGAAAAACAACAGTGCATTCTCATTTCGTAGTTAGTTAAATTATTTTATGGCTGATTTATCAATGGTTAGCTAAAAGTTGTCTGGGGCCCATTTGATGCTGTCGCGTCAGAATGTTTGTATAAGACAGTGACAGCAATAATTTTATTCCTCCGATAACATTTATCTGACTATTGAAAAATCAGCCTAAGTTAAGAATATTCAGGCTAAATTTTATAGCTAAGACGTCTAAATATAAAAAGGTTAATACCTACGTACGGTAAAAGTAAGTTATTTAACTTAAGTTTTACTGTAAATAATGTTAATTTTTAAGTTTAATAATGTACATATTTTTGCTTTTAAGTTATTTTGTTTTTTTTCTTCGGTTATTTCATTTTTAAGCCACTCTTAAACAATCTTTTGGGATTTAAACCTTTTTGATTGAAAAACTTATAGGTACTAAAAAAATAGTTTTGTGACGTAATATATTTTCAAGTAATAATACACAATGTAAAATGTGTCATAAATACACATTTTATCAAAATAATAAAATTATTAGAATTTAAAATTATAATAAAAATAAATGTGGCTTAAATTTTTTAAACAATTTGTTTACAAATAACATCTAAACAAATGAGTAATGACAATAATTTAACGAATAATTTTGTGATTTTGTAGATAAGACCGCCATTGCTGTTCGATACAAAAAAATGACAAAATGAAATGAAAAAACTGTGATAAAAACGAACAATATTTAAACTGTACATAAAATAAATTTTGTGTAAGCTTATCCGTTGTTTTTTTTCATAAGCTAACTAAACTAGTTACTCTCGCGCGGTTTCACTCGCTGCTGGGCTCCATTTGATCGTAACGTGATGTATTTGTAAGTTTGTACGTAGGAAGTAATATTTGGAACCACCGGTCAGATTCCCAAATTCTTTCACTTATTGATAGCTACAATGTTCCCGAGTGCTATAGGCTATAAAACATTACGCTACAATCAAATGGAGCCGAGCAGCGAGTGAAGCCGCGTGGGTGTAGCTAGTCATAAGTAAAATGGAATAGATAGGTTACATAAACAAAATTCGATTTTCAAAAACGACACACTGATACACACATGAACAATTCGTATGTTTAGACGACAAAGTGAGATGGCATGATTCACTAATTGCGAGTGAAAAAGAGACAAATAATTATAAAAAGTTAGCCACATTTTAATGTATCACCTCAGGTATCACTTGCTGAGAGCTTGTAACCGATCTACACCTTTTTACTTATAATATCATGGTACTATACATGATGATGATATAGTGGTCACTGGTATAATACATGACCGAATAGGACTTCATAGTAATATAAAATAAATGTAATTAGTCAAACAAGACAGTTTTAATAAATTGAACAAGAAAATAACAACACTTGGTTACCATAGCAACGCTTCGTAACCATAGCAACGCAATCAACAGTTTTATTTATAGGGATTTTAAAAATAAAAACTCAAATATGATTAGCTTGTATGATATCATACTGTGTTGTGAAGTGTCATTTTAAATTTAGGGATATTTTTAGAATGGATCGTTAGTTGATTGGACCAGGGTGGTCCTTCACCAGGTCAAGGCCGAGGCCGCGGGTAATTATTGTCCTTGACCCCCAACACCGGCTTTGTTGATGAGAACTGAGAGCCGTTGACAGGCTCAACAGTTTTCACGTTTCAAAAGTAGCTATTTACGGTTTAGTTGGAATAAATGATTTTGACTTTGACCTGGATGGGGCGAGAGGGAGTGTCTGACTCTTACTGACTAAATACCACACCGTCCCTTCTCTTGCTCCAGGTCGGGGCCTGACTTAATTGCGCTTGACCCTGAAAGTCAACCAGAAAATCGACTCTATTGAGTCCTATATATGGTTGTAACTGGCTAAGCCTTCTATGACTATTAAAAACGATATTTTCTTGAAGATAACACGTGACATAAAGCCAACAAATAGTTAGATTTAATCTTTAAACTCGTGTTTCATTGTTTTCTTTGATGTTTACCGTAGCTTTAATAAAACCTGATTGTTACTGATACTATAAAGTTCAAGATGACATAGATTAAGTTTGTAAAATACATGCAAACGTGACGATACCTAAGTAGTCGCCTGCACAGTCAACCTCGCTACATCCTTGTTGACTGGACATCTACACTACATGAGCTGCTGTTTACATGTGAACATTAGCTCATGACGATACCTAAGTACGTGTGTCGCCTGGACAGTCAACCTCGCTACATCCTTGTTGACTGGACATCTACACTACATGAGCTGCTGTTTACATGTGAACATTAGCTCATGACGATACCTAAGTACGTGTGTCGCCTGGACAGTCAACCTCGCTACATCCTTGTTGACTGGACATCTACACTACATGAGCTGCTGTTTACATGTGAACATTAGCTCATGACGATACCTAAGTACGTAACACGTATACCAAAGAGAATAACGTTGCCGTCCTTTTGTGGACTCTCAGGGATTGAAGGATAGGAAATTGGGGATGAGGATGTAATCTCAATCACACGACAAAACGCAAACTATACTTGCGAAGCAGGAGAAGAAAGTGGTGGTTTTTAATCAATAAAAGTCTCGCCCCACCCATGGCTGGAGCACTCATTTGATGACATTATACACGCCAATACTTATTCTGTGAGGCCATGGTAACTTCTATCAAGCCAACCCATCCATGCCGAAGCATGACTGCACGTGCGAGTCTACGACCTGACAGACACAGGCTACGACCTGACAGACACAGACTACGACCTGACAGACACAGGCTACGACCTGACAGACACAGGCTCCGACCTGACAGACACAGACCACGACCTGTGCAACCAGGTCGAAATGTCAAGCCTACCAAGGTATTTAAATAATTATTTTCACGTTAATAACCGCGTAATATGTCTTAAAAATGACTCTTAGGCACTTAATGAAAACTGTTTACAAATGTTGGTCTGTCTGCGGCCTACATATCTGGTCTGTGGTATCACGCCAATCATTGGACTCTGTCCATTAATTAATTCACTTGAAACATCTGATTCAGCTCTCTTGGTAACTGTGAGGTTGCGTACTGTTTACTGCTTTTAATGTCAAGTTTATATTAGTCAATAAGACTGATACTTATGTGTTAGTCCGTTTATCCTACGAATAATGTTATCTTCAGGACTGATTTTTCAATGGTTAGATAAAAGTTACCTGGGGAATAATTATGATGCTGTCGCGTCAGAATGTTTGTATAAGACAGTGACAGCAACAATTTTATTCCGCAGATAACATTTAATTGACAATTGGAAAATCAGCCCTAAACCTTTTATAAAGGTTAAGAGATTTATTTGAATTTTCTTAATCTTATTTAAACTTTAATTCCTTTTCATTTTAATTTTGTTATTTTTTTTCAATAGGTTATTATGTAAGTACTAATAGCTTTTGTCCGCGACTTTGTTGCGTGGAATAGTGTTTTCCTGCAGATTTTTGGTATAGTATAAAAACTATCCTATGTCCTTTCTCGAGGTCCAAACTATGTCTGTACCAAATTATACAGAAATCGGTTCAGTAGTTTAGGCGTGAAGAAAAGACAGACTGACAGACAGAGCTACTTTCGCATTTATAATATTAGTTTGGATAATTCAATTATACCGTTTAATCATTTTATTAACCGAGGTTAACTCCTGCTTCTCATGCATGAGGGTGCGGGTCGGAACCTCGCAAGTACCAATGTTACTTTTTCTGACTGATATGTACTTTCTTTGATTATTAAGACACCACTGACATACGGTGAAGGAAAACATTGTGAGGAAACCTGGAATTATAATTTCTAATTATAAGTTTGAAATCGCCAACCCGCATTGACCAAGCGTGGTTTTGCTCAAACCTTTTCCGTGTGCGAAGAGGCCTTTGCTGAGCAGTGGGCACTTATAAGCTAATGATGATGTACTAAATATTTGTTAGAACCGCTACCATCCAGTAACATTGTACAGACCATGTTTTATCTATTTACAATCCGACAAAGGAGTAATAAAAATGTTCACAATACATCTATTTTAGTCAATGACTCATAAAAGAAGTTTTCAACACGATTGGACATGTCAGTTTCTTGCTATTTTTTTATGGAATAGGAGGCATATGAGCAAGCGTATCACCTGATGGTAAGCGATCAGTGCCGCCCATGGACATCTGCAACACCAGAGGAGACACAGGTGCGTAACCTTTTAAGAAGGAGTACGCTCGTTTTTTGTTGGTTTGAAGGTCGTATCGGTTCGAGAATACCGCTGCCTAAAGACAGGCATGAAACAACCACAGCGGTAACTAAAAATCGCGGGTTACTCACGTGTATAAGTAAATTGAGAAAAGCTCACTCACACATTACACCACTGACATACGGTGAAAGAAAGAATCGTGAGGAAACCTGGACTGTTAATTGCTAATTACAAGTTTGAAATCGTCAATCCACCTTGAGCAAGCTTGGTGATTAATGATCAAACCTTTTCTGATGATGATGATGATGATGATTACAACCGTGCTAAGATTGGGCGGGTTGTTATGTTACTAACTAGCTTTTGCCCACGACTCCGTTCGCGTGGAATCGTAACTTCCTGCAGATTTTTTGGGTATAAAAACTATCCTATGTCCTTTCTCGAGTTCCAAACTATGTCTGTACCAAATTTTACAGAAATAGGTTCAGTAGTTTAGGCGTGAAGAAAAGACAGACAGACAGAGTTTTTTTCGCATTTAAAATTTTAGTTTGGATTTGGACAGTTTGGATAAAAACCAATATAAATATACATGTGTGTTGATAGATAGATAGACGATGGCTGACGAAAGGGTAATTAATAAGCACACAGCGATACGGTTTCATTCAGCCTCTTCAAGTGGTCAGCGGTGCACGTAGCCGAACGTTGCTATTTTTAATCTACATTCTTTATTATCTGTGACATAGCGTCTTTGGCGGGAATTAACGGAAAAAGTGTTGGTAAGTTTTTTTTTTTGTTTTTGTTTTTTTTTTTTGTTAACTCACGTGTTTTAGTGGAATCTATACTTATTAATATTGTAAAGAGGCAAAATTTGTAAGTTTCTTCGAGTACCTATGTTAGTAGGTATGAAGGAATATTGTAGCTATCTATCAGTGAAATCATTTTGACAATCCGACCAGCGTTTCCAAAGATTACACCCTACATACAAACTTACAAATTTTACCTCTTTATAATATTAGTATAGATAAAAACAAAAAAAAATATTCTATATAATATCTATATCTACTTCTCAATGAAAGAGTCAGTATCACGTATATCAATTTATTGATTTTACGATATATGTACTTACATGTTAAAACATCGTATTTTCGGTCGATGGAAATTAGAAATTACTATGTCCAGCAGTGGACAGAAACTGGCTGACGATGATGACATATTAATGAATTGATAGGAAACTTTTTATTTATTAACTAGCGGCCCGCCCCCGCTTCGCTCGGGTCCAACTATCTCGCTATCAAAGGGTCACTTTTTCCTAATCTTCCCCTCTACTTTTCAAATATTTTCTTTAATAAGAACCTTCTCCTGACAATAACAAACACAACAAAAAAAGAATTAGCAAAATTGGTCCAGGAGTTGTTGAGTTATGCGCTTACCAACACATTTTGCGATTCATTTTTATATTATAGATTTATTTTGATATTTCGAAAAACGATACTGAAGTTGTCAAGAATCAAATTAAACATTGACATCTCTGCCTATTTTTCTTCAGAATTTTGAACCATTAGTGGTCACTACATAGTATAAAACAAAGTCGCTTTCTCTGTCCCTGTGTATGCTTAAATCTTTAAAACAACGCAACGGATTTTGATGCGGTTTTTGTTTTAGTACATTGAGTGATTGAAGAGGAGGGTTTAAATGTATAATAACATCCATTAAATAGTGGAGAAATTTAGTATCAGCGTTGTAGCCGTCCGAAGCCGGGGCGGGTCGCTAGTCACGCATAAATTAACCTCATAGTCAAAACAAGTACTTTTAGAATAATATTCCATCATTCAGTTTGTCAGTGAAGCTAGGTGCCCAAAATCTATATCTAATTCAAATAAATCTTAAAAAATCAGTATTTTTGTAAACAGGTTTATAAATTCTTTCATTTAATCTAGAAAAATCGGCATCGTTGTCTATAAAGGACTGAGCGAGGGTGAATATCCGCTTAGGATTTTCTAGCCATTTAAACGCGCCGAGGCAAAGATGTCACAGAGCATGTTGTCCGCTTGAGGATTAGTAATTTGACGAAAAAATTAATACTGAGATGAAATTCCCGAAACACACTCTTTTATATGACACACTACCATTTTTCTTGAGGGAATAAATCGTCTAAGACTCAACCTGGGTGGGGCTAGAGGGGAGTGTCAGACTATTACTGACTAAAAACCACCCCGTACCTTCTCCTGCTCTGGGCCGAGGCCGCGGTGTCTCATTGCGCTTACCCCGCAACCCCGGCTGAACATAAGCCCTATAGGGCCCCGTCTGTGGTGGTCTATTGGCTCTTTGAGGCGCGCGCGGGACGCTATGCCTCGTACGCTTGATTATTTTAGGAGGAAGGTATTTTACTTTTAAGTGTAGGAGAGCCATGCTACGGCACGACCGGTGTGATACCACGGCCTCACAGAGAACCGGCGTGAAACAACCACAGCGTTGTGTTTCGCTGTGTGAGTGAGGTTACCAGAGGCCCAATCCTTCCCCTCCCCCGATCCGTAAATCCAAAACCCTAAAAGGTCTGCAACCCGTAACTCCTCCGTTGCGGGTGTCCATGGGCGACGCTGATTGCTTACCATCAGGTAATCCGTTTGCTCGTTTGCCGACATTATGACATAATAATAATTAGGGAGTATGATAGACTGACTAAAATCCACCCGGTTCCTTATCCTGCTTCAGATTCAGGGTTTTGAAGCTGCGGTACATTACTGCGTATGTACCCTCAGCCTGGCTGACACACCTCCCTATAACAAAATATGTTGAAACTACAAAAATCAAGATTGATCTGGAAAATTTACACCTAACATTATTTGACTCGAATTACCATGTTTGCACATTTCGTTGACGCGTTCTCGGAAATAGCTTAACTGTTTATCATAACACGAGTTCAAAGTGTGTGGAATTTTTTTACGAGGCGATGTAACGCCTGTTAGTCGATGTGAGGGTAGGCAGGGGTACCTAAATGATATATTACTAGCATATGTCGCCGACGTCGCCCATATCCTAAGGATAGAAATGGCTTATATGGGATTCTTGAGAATGCTAATATGAGATTAGGTAAGTATCTATTTCAGTGCCAATTCATAAAAAAAATATGTTGGTAAAAGAGTAAAAAATTATGACAAACTATAATAGACTAAAATAATTATGATTTTAGATTTATTTTTAATATTCAAGTAGGTAGGCTTAGTTAAGAATGTGACAAATTGTGAATAAGTAGGTTAAGATAATGCAGATTCAACGAAATAAAAGAAAACACTTAGTACGGAATTTAGAATATTGAAAGTAATACTAGTCAAACTAAATACAACTAGTCAATAATAAATTAATTCTACGTTTCAATACAATAAACTGTTGAAAAAATAACTATACTCAAATATAAAATAACTATATTCATCGATCAATCGATACACTAAGTTTTGGATGGCTAATTATTAAGAAATAAGTAAGCTAATTGACGCCAAAATACGATGATGTCATAGCTCTGTGTTCTATACAATGTCATAGAAAAGTATCGTTTTTGACATTTGGATAAAAGTATTGAATTTGACTAGGAAACTACCGTATTTTATATGAAAAATAGCACGTTGCGACGTCATTATATTTTAACGTCGAATAGGATGACTTATTTCTCTGCTATTATTTAAAAAAATAAAAATACGAAACGAATTTACTATACTAAATAAACTTAATAATAAACTTAACTTATGAAAGTATTTTTTGTATTATTTTTTATAATATTAAAAGTTGAAACAATTTCGTTTTGACTAAGATAAGTAACCGAATCTGTTTTTAAATGTCAAAAATCAAAATAAGTGAGTGAACATAATTTCAAATTCAGTAGGCAAAACAATGACGTCATATTTTTGAAAAAAAAGGGAAGTTCTGACTTTATAATTTTGTCATTTTTGCGCTTTTGACATTACCGAGGTTTCCGGAGGCCCTATCCTTCCCCTCCCCCAATCCCTCCTCAATCCCTAAATCTCCAAATCCCTAATCCCTAAAAGGTCAGCAACGCACTTGTAACTACTCCGTTGAGAGTGTCCATGGGCGGCGCTGATTGCTTACCATCAGGTAATCCGTCTGCTCGTTTGCCGACCTATTACATAAAAAAAATGCATTGTTTGTCAATATCAGTTAGATTAAAAAAACCGATTAAAATAATCAAAATAAAAAATGATAAACCTTTTTTATTTTAGCATAAATAACTATTTTTTTTTTATTTATTTGTTTTAAAGACACGCCTACAACCAGTCTTGGTAATAATTCACAATGTTTTGTTATTTTTTTAATAGTGCAAATTGGTACATTGCAAATTACGAAAAAACATAGTTCGTATGTCTATGATAACGAAGTTTATGTAACAGTTGATAACAGAGCCTAAATTTGATATAATTAGAAGTAACATATACATTATAAGTGCAATTTGAACCTTATCGTTTATGTAATAAAGGCGAATTAGGTTTGACAGTAACATTTCTTGGCCTAACCTACTTGGCCTTGTGGTCGAGTCACAAGCATAGACAATGATACTTCGGGATCTCAGGTTCGATTTTTGGACGTGTTTTTTTTTTGACACTGACTTTCTCTATCATCGTCAGCCTATAAGTAAGGATTAAAAATGAATCACCACGCTAGCTTATTATTTATACATATAGTCAGAATTTTAATTCGATCCCTGATTTGACATGACCTACTGTCATTTTGTGAAATAATGATACCACATGTAACAGTGTAGTGATGAACACAAAAATCGATAAACTATTAGTGAATCAGTTACAGGAAGGCATTCAAAAAATTACGGCTACCGAATGGTCTAAATGCGTATCCCATGTTGTCAAAGAAGAGGAAAAAATGAGTAAGCTAGATATGTTAATCGACAATAAATATCACAGACACAGTTCAGAAAGTAACAGCGATAGGGATAGCGATGACGGCGACAATTTATAAAATGTATGTTTTATTTGTCATCTTCATGATCACATTATTTATTAATTTCACACACAATTACAAAAGAAATGTCTCAGATCGTTAATTAATTGTCAAAACTAAATTATCGGTTCAGAAATATTTTATTTCCTGATAAACTTAGTTTACGAGAGTAAATTTATAAACGAGAGGAATCGATTCAGAAATATTCGATTTCCATATCGAATAATTTCGCAACGTCACTATTTAGTACGTGTCATAACGTTGCAACACTGAAATTGTCAAATCTGGAATGGAATTAAAATTCGGAGTATAGAAATTATAAGTCCAGATTTCCTCACGATGTTTTCCTTCACCGTATGTCAGCGGTGTCTAAATGATCATAGAAAGTATATATGACTTATAATAATAATATCGTTTATTTACATGAAATATGGTGCTTACAGATCTCACAATACAATACATAGTCCTTCACATTTCGCCTACTAAATTCAGCATGCAAATTTAGGTTATGCCATATTATAATTAATAAAAAACAAATAATCATTTAAATGTTTCACAATGGGTAAATGTCATGAAATTAAAATACAAATGTCAAACTATGAAAATCTATGGAAAATATAGAATATGTCAAAGTATGAAAAAAAATTATTTATATACATTAGAAATACCAATGTTAAAAAAAACTATAAAAATTAAAACATTCATGATATGCTTAGATAATGGCAAAGCTAATTTAAATACACTGTTCATGTCTGTGATCATTTTTGTTTATCAAAATTCATAAAATTAGAAAAAAGTCGCATCGATACTT